ATATATTGCCATTTCCCTTTAAGCTTTTCATTCTCAGTCACAAGTACAAATTAGAACATCTATCTGTGGCTATGAACGTAATAAGCTTAAACGAACACTTGACTTAATCTTGTGCAATTGACAGGTTTGAAGTAGTTCCCCTCCCTTAATTTGTTAAACAGCTTATAGTGTTATCATAAATACATCCATCAGTGAACAACATGGGGGACGCATTGAACCTTGTTGGATGTTTAATTTGAAAGGATTTACCTAAACTCTTCGGGAGGCAAGCTTGAAAATACTAGAATATTTCATCCGTGTTTCATTGCCAAATTGAGCTACGCGGTGTTGTTGTGCTCTCCCTAGAGGTCCGGGGTTACTACAGAACTACGTATGGAAACCTAAACCAAACAAAGTTTATTTATACTGGATTGTCTATCAGTTCCGAAGACCACACTTGACAGAACAGTTAGAGCTGTTCGTTATAATAAAGTTAGTTTAGTTTAGGTTTCCTCCTGTGGTAACACTGGATCGATAAGAGATGATCCTTTCTCTGGATCTCTAAGAAGAACAGTTTAGAACTGATAGATCTATCCAGTATAAATAAAGTTAGTTTAGTTTAGGTTTCCTCCGGTAGTAACACTGGATGAATAAGAGATGATCCTTATACTGGACCTCTATATAGGAAGAACAGTTTAGAACTTAGAGAGCTATCCAGTGTAAATAAAGTTAGTTTAGTTTAGGTTTCCGCCTGTAGTAACACTGGATCAATAAGAGATGATCCTTATACTGGACCTCTATATAGGAAGAACAGTTTGGAACTTATAGAGCTATCCAGTGTAAATAAAGTTAGTTTAGCTTAGGTTTCCGCCTTTAGTAACACTGGATCAAGAACAGTCTAGAACTGACAGAGCTATCCAGTGTGAATCAAGTCAGTTTAGTTTAGGTTATATCTATGATCCTAACTAATAGTCCTATCATAAATATATAAATAAAGAAATAAATAAAGGTAATTTTAATTTTGGCTTCCTTCCTTTTTGGTTTCCTCCCAAATAGGACCAGAACAGTCAACAACTAATAGACCTACCCATGCAGTATAAATAAAGTTTGTTTAGTTTAGGCTATAATAGCAGACTGTAGTAACAACAGATCATAAGCGGATCAGACCCTTTAACTAGACTACAAAGAGAACAGCTAAGAACCGATAACGTTTTCTATATAGTATACAAGTCAAGGGTTGACCTTCAGAAAGACCTCTAATTATAAGGCCCCGTTTACACTATACCGGATTCGCTCGTCACGCGATCATCTTCTGCCGTTAAGGAGCAATGGTTAGTAGCAAATGCTTATTAGTTTGACAGAATTGGCTTGTTTATTTGGGTCTCTGAGATTAAAAATCTTCACAGCCTTTCAATGCCTACAAAATTTGACCTACTCCGATAGCAATCCGGTATAGTGTAAACGGGGCCTAAGGAGAACAGTTTAGAACTGATAGAGCTATCCAGTATAAAGTTGGTTTAGTTTAGTTTAGTTTAGTTTAGTTTAGTTTAGTTTAGTTTAGTTTAGTTTAGTTTAGGTTAACATATGATTCTTACTGGACCTCTAGGGAGAACAGTTTAGAACTGATAGAGCTATCCAGCATAAATAAAGTTAGTTTAGGTTTCCTCCTGTAGTAACACTGGATCAATAAGAGATGATCCTTACTGGATCTCTAGGAAGAACAGTTTAGAACTGATAGAGCTAGCCAGTATAAATTAAGCTAGTGTAGTTTAGGTTTCCTCCTGTAGTAACACTGGATCAATAAGAGATGATCCTTACTGGATCTCTAGGAAGAACAGTTTAGAACTGATAGAGCTATCCAGTATAAATTAAGCTAGTTTAGTTTAGGTTTGCTACCCCAGTATAAATACTAGATCAAAAAGGATTGGTAAATTGCCATGACGCTATAATACTCCCCCCAGGAAATAATGGACGTTGCCATGACGCTATGACCCTCCAATACAATACACGTTGCTCTTATCATGTATTTCGTAACGAAATCAAATTAGCTTAGCATGCATGCTTGATACTTATTAAACAAAACACAAAATAACAATGGTCTATTTCTTGAACAATAACAAGATTGCCAGACCCTGTCAGAGCAGAGCAGACTAAAATCCAATTTCCTATAATCTATCGTTAAAATAAGATTGTAATAATGGGTTCAACAATGTAATTAGATTACATTTATATGATTACACAAGTCAGTACTGAGAAATTTCAGTCAACATTTTCTAAATACATGCAACACTTATAATAATGTAGAGTGGATCGATATCGCAAAATACCGGTATACCGGTATTTTCAACGTGTTTTTTTAAGCCAAACTGAACTGCTGAACGTCCAGAAAAATCAAGTTTTGACAAAATATTGTGACACATACTGTTATTAGTGCAAGTGTCACAAGATTCGCATTATCATGCTATATTAACGGCGCTAAGTGGCAATTATTACTGCCCAATAAATATTTCGAGAAAAAAACTTGAAAAGGTTTTTTCTGCTTCGCAAATGCTAGTACTTCCACTTTCCAAAATCGTAGGTTCCTTTTTTACCAAAATTTTCCTTCAAGAATTTCGCCATTTATATATTTCCGATTAATTTAAGGCGATTTAATAAACAAGACGTCTTTGTACTGCTAAACCAAAGCTGCTAGAACTGTAAGAACAAAATCGTCCATCTGTGAGTGATAACTTTGGATTTTAAACGTGATTGTAGGCAAGTTTAACTTGAAACAGCGTTTCAAATCGGTATTACGCAGAAAATACCGAAATGTCGGTATATCGGTATTTTTGAATAGTCAATATCGCCAATACCGATATCTAAACAAATACCGGTATACCGAATATATCCGGTATATCAATCCACTCTATAAATAATGGATAAAAGTATTCAAAGGAATGGATGACTCCAGCTAGCTATAGACGAAATTTTGATCTAGACAAGAACGAAATCCATTACCATAGGAAGTAAAATAGCAAAGTTTGGTTGCGAGATGTTGTAAAATGAGGAAAATGTGGCCCTGTGAAGTTCGCAAATTTCGTATATGTTTGCATGCATTACGCGCGGGAAAATAACCATTTTTGAGACGAAAGTGGTTAGTTTCACCGCGCGTAATACAAATGTATACAAACTTTGCGAACTTCACAACAGGGCTATATTTTCTTCATTTTACAACATTTCACAACTACCAAACTTTGCAGTTTTACTCATTCTAAGATACTCTTTCTAGGTGTGGTGTTGGATTTCGTTCTTCTTGCCTTGATCAAAATTTAGTCTATATAGCTGGAATCACCCATTTAAAGTATTTTACTTTTAATATATATCGTGAAGCGAAAATTGTCTTTTATATTTAAACGTATTTCTATATGGGAATGGCAGCAAGGCCTGGTCGCAAGCCGTTAGGAAGAAAGTGAGCGGCTCTCTCTCTATACAGGGGATCCGAAAAAACCCACTGAAACTATTGATGGAGATATCCGTTCTGCATTTAGAACGCGTTGTGCAAAACTTTCCCATGATTGTAATTAACCTTGTTTAAAAATACCATATAAAAAAAGGTTCTTGAATTTCAAAAATCTGGTATAGCAGGACAATGCGATTTCTATAATTGGCTTCGTGTTTTAATTAAATCATTTTAAAAATGGAAGTTACGCTAAATGGAAATGAACAGAAACAGAACTTGGGTTCAAATGCCAGTACTCTGCTCAGCCGACAAGACTTCATATGTAACAAACAGAACGGCTACGTTTGAAGAAGTTTATTAAAAAAAGGTATATTAAATACAAAAACTAAATTTTCGGCTGCATGCCACTGCCTTCTTCAGAGTGCCTATAGCTTTACACTTTGTATATAAGTATGTTCTGTGTAAAGCCATAGGCACTCTGAAGAAGGCTGTGGCATGCAGCCGAAAATTTAGTTTTTGTATTTAATATACCTTTTTTTAATAAACTTCTTCAAACGTAGCCGTTCTGTTTGTTATATATATATATATATATATATATATATAGTTGAATATTGCAGCTATTTGTGAATGGATTGTTCTCGTAAGGAGATATTTATACCGTGTCTCTAAGAAAGGGGCCCTTCCCATATATGATTTCTAATTAAGCTCAATATTTAAGCTTTATGAAGAGCCACTTAAAAAAACCTTTGTTAAAAATGTTTTATTCGGCATAGTACAAACATGGACTGGATCCATGGACTGGACCCAAAATTTGACTCAAAATTGGATCCAAAATTCGACTCAAAATTGGACTCAAAATTTTAGCCAAAATTTTGCCCAAAAAGCCATTATTTTTTCGGAGAGAAACAACCCTCAGAATATCGTGCTTAATTGATTTAATTTGTATAGGCAAAAACTTCACGTTCCATCACTTTTACCTTGACCTATCTAGCTATTTGTCTTCCAAAATTCTATATTCTATTTTCTAAACGTTATCTAGGGTATCTCGTAAATAATAAACCTTTGTGAAATATCTTTGCGCAATGGTCACAAATACATCATATCGATATAAATCATTCCATCAATATATACATCAATATATATAGTTATTTTAATTATATACATTTTGTGTCTGTATAATACACCCTCTATATATTCCGGCATATATATCCTCTAACGAGTAAGGAGTTCCCAAAGTTTGTTTTGTCCATATATTCTAATATTTATCACAACTATAGCTATATGTGGGCTTATCATTATGCATTATTCTATTTTATTATCATAAAATAGAATATAGAATTTTGGAAGACAAATAGCTAGATAGGTCAAGGAAAAGTGATGGAACGTGAAGTTTTTTGCCTATACAAATTAAATCAAAGCACGAAATTTGGGCAAAATTTGGGCTAAAATTTTGAGTCCAATTTTGGGTCCAATTTTGGGTCCAGTCCATGGGTCCAGTCCATGTTTTGTACTATGCCATTTTATTCAGATTATTAGAGAGACACAAATATATCCAATTCACACATGCATATTATATTCACATATATATATATATATATATATATATATCCAATTCACACATATATAACCAATTCACATGACATATATATCCAATTCACACATATATTTATCCAATTGCACATATATCCAATTCACACATCGAACAGCTATATATACAGATTACGAAAGCATAGAATAGAACAAAGGTAAGCACTAGAATTATCCACATGGGTAATTACATATAATTCTAATTTGTCTAACTTTCAGTGACAGCAGCAAACGTTTTCGCGAAGAATATTTTTGGCACATTTTAAATGCCGCGTATATCTATATACGATCTGCGCGAATTCTCATACAGCGCGCATTTAAATAGTCCAGGGCGCGAAATAACGGCCGGTCAAGGGATAATGTCCGGCCAGAATGCGGAGTTGTCAAATTCTTACCTTGCCGGTCATTTTGACCCGTCACTTTCGGTAAAAGAACAAACGAATCTTCATTTGAATTAATACTCAAAATAAAGTTGTCAAGTATTATAAAAATAATTATAATTACTGTCGATGCAATAGAAGTGTTGATAAAATATTGCATGAATTCATTTCCTCAAGTTGATCAATTCATACGAATTCAAATTTCTTTTTACTTCCTGTGCGTTTCCTATATTATATTGGTCAATCGGTTCTGAAATGAAATCTAATTGGCTCATCTAAAAGTAACAGGAAGTTGATCAATTTTCTATCAAATGAATTGATCAACTTGAAGAAAGGAATTGGTGCAATATTTTATCAACACTTCCATTGCATCGACAGCAGGTCAGAACCGAGTTTGACTAATGGTCGCGGGTCGCGTGTCGCGGGTAAAAAGTCGCGTGTCGCGGGTAGAATGTCGCGGGTCGCGGGTAAAATGTCGCGGGTAAAAAGTCGCGGGTCCCAAAAGCTCCAAACCGTGTATTTTATCGAGTCGCGGGTTGAATAAAGTGTGTAAAAATCACGTTATCATTTAGTAAACAACCATATAGGATTGCTTCAATACGAAATATTGCCCAAGAGCCTTTTGTCATGATTTAATGAGTTTGATTAATGGTCGCGGGTAAAAAGTCGCGTGTCGCGTGTAGAATGTCGCGGGTAAAATGTCGCGGGTCGTAAAAAAGCTCCAAACTGTGTATTTTATCGAGTCGCGGGTTGAATAAAGTGTGTAAAAATCACGTTATCATTTAGTAAACAACCATATAGGATTGCTTCAATACGAAATATTGCCCAAGAGCATTTTGTCATGATTTAATGGTTCTATATAAACGTGCCAGAAGCCTAAAACTTGAAAGAATAATTTCAATATGTTAAACCAACAATTATACCATGACAAAAATCCTCTAATCAAAAAAATGTTCTGAAAGAAACAAACAAGACTTTGGTAGAAATAAATTCAGTTTACCACTACTATTACAATCAGTTTTATACTAATTTAAAAACAACCATATAGTATCACAAATAATAGATATATCCATGCTAGGACATTATAAAAGTACATTATGATTCACCAACAACCCGGATATTTAAGTCGCTGTACTGTAGCACTTGTTTAGTCTGGAAAGTACTGATCGATGCGCAGAGGCTTGACGACAACGCGCACTGAGCCACTGAATAGCGGATTTTTACGCCTGATATGGTAAGAAATTGGATTGTAATATGTATTACTAAAATCAAAGACTATAAACATAGGAATGTGTAACAGGATCCTTTTGCACTACCGTCTGTCAACGTGCTTTACAATAATGTTATATGGTTCTTGTCTAGTTTATCTAGAAACTCGCAATTGCAGCCATAACATCTTCGAACAACTATTGATAAAAAAACATTAAATAACTAAATGTTAATGTGATTTTTACACACTTTATTCAACCCGCGACTCAATAAAATACACGGTTTAGAGCTTTTTTACGACCCGCGACTTTTTACCCGCGACCCGCGACTTTTTACCCGCGACTTTTTACCCGCGACCCGCGACTTTTTACCCACGACACGCGACCATTAGTCAAACTCGTAAGAACCATAACATGCTGTTGGATATTTTTCGGCAGCTTTCCCACGCAGTACGTCACAAAGCCCTTGGCCATGCTTTTGGCTTGAGAGTCAAGGTCATGCTTTTAGCGCAGGGCAAGCTGTTTTATGTGAAGGAATTTTTAATTACTGATTACAGTAAGGCTTTTTATAATGCTATACTATACTATACTATACTGTACTGTACTGTACTGTACTGTACTGTACTGTACAGTCACGAATAAACTGTGGTACTAGCCCGAGTATACCCCCTCCCCGATATAAGCCCTTCCGTGTAAAAGCCCACGGGCTTATTATTCGACAGGTATTTATTAACGCAGCGATGGCGATTCCAACAGCTCAGACAAGTACAATAATTACATTAGAGTATTATAATATGTTAACCAACTTTTTTATGTACAGATTATGTATACTGTATGTTTATATTTCTTTTCGTTCACGGTAGTTTATATTACAGGTATACAATAAATATTATTACTAAGATCAAACGCCGTCCGTATATAAGCCCGCCCCCCATGTATAAGCCCATCAAAAAATGCTTGCTAATGAATATAAGCCATTCTTCGGAGGTTTAGGTATATAGGAACAAACTCATATTAAAATGTATGCACTAAGCCTATAAGAGGACAGAACGATGGTCGATGCTAGCTAGCTGTTGATTCAGAAATCGAAGTGTAACAACTTTTAAAAAATTCAAATTAATTAATACAACTTAAAGATATTCTAATTTAAATGACTATATTCTTACATTTTAACTAATTGCAAGTAACTATGTATATACATACATCTATTTACATTATTAAACCGTAGTGTTTTGAGTATACTAAACAAACACATATCACAGATATTATATTTACATAGCAGGTAATAATATTCGGCTACAATTATTAAAAATGTCCACGGCCTAGCAAGGCTCGAACCGACGGAGTACCAAAATTATGGAAAATCTTCAACTGCATATAGTTCAAATGTTCCGATAGCGAAAAAAAAAACGATGCCATGGTATATGGGTCAATGAATGATGTTGCCGAAAAAATCCTACAACCGACCGAAGGATTTCTATGTCCAGTTTTAACACAGTTTCATTTTGAAACCGATGTGTTTTCATCAAATAAATATATAGCATTGTTATTCGGAGTCCATATATAAACCAATTCTTTATGCCAGACTATAACCGTATTTTCTCACCGCCAAATTTCACGTTTACTGGTACGTAATCAAAATGGGAAGATGGCGTGATGGGACTGAGACCCAATGATATCGCTAACATAAAGTATCCACTAACCTCACCGTCACGTGGCCAATTGCTCGAGAGGCTCTTCCTTGTCCAAAGGGTGGTATTCACCCGTGTTCGATAATTGGCCCATGTGAATGTAATCTGCTGTGGTTTGGTCTTCGTCTCCAGCCAACTATTTAAAAAAAACAACGTATTGTTAAAAAAGGTTTTTGGAACTATTTCTCGCTATCTTTAAAGGAACCGGTCATTATTTATGGGGGGTGGGGGGTGGGGGGTGGCACCGAAGAGAAATGGTTGTCGTGCCAAAAATTTTGCAGACCCAAATAAAAAAATTGATTACCCAACCTCAAGTATCATTTAAAAAATAAATACCAACCCCTGGCCAAAAACGTTACAAAAGGATGTCATTCAGTTGTCACACATGTCCTTTACCACTTCTGTGATACGAATTTGATAACGTTCGGCTTCTAAAGTTTCATGTTGTCTGCACATCTACTTTCTTTGGAGACACCATTAATTTGTCTCCCAACAAATCGGAAAATGATCAAGATAGTGACTCTGATCATAGACAATCCAGAAGACATGCCAGACAATCAGAGCATAGACAATCAAGGACTGTCTTCTGGATTGTCTATGCTCTGATTGATTCACATATTGTATTGACGTATGACTGTTGACATTGAAGTTTTCAGTCTTCAATATTTGAGTGAGTCATGCTTTGGAAATGACAATAAATTTTTATTACCCAACCTTTGAGTTGTTTTGTTTTTCATTTACCCAACCTTTTACTCACTCAAAATTTTGTTTACCCAACC